AGAGATTTAAGCTAATTTGGGAACCAACTCATCCCCTGCTGGTTTCAATGTCGTATAACAACACGTACCGTCGGTATTTGAACAGTTTTCGGCCGGACAGAATTCTGGCAGCCCTGAAACTCGACAGGGGGCACCAGCCACAAGACTGGTCTTAATCTGGGCCCCGACATAAGAGTTAAGTCACATTGATTAATAAATGTGGCCTGCCGGAAAAGCTTGCTTAGTGACACCCACTGGTACTTAATTTTAAGCGTGGTCTTCATAACGTAGTAACAAGCTACAAATATAAGTGACGTCATTTGCACAGTTTAAACCATCCAATGGAACAGACATTCATTCTTGAAATCAAATGAATTAAGCTACGTCTTCAGCGAACGGTGACATGTGGACACTTAACAAACGCCTCAAAGTCGAAATTCCGCACTTAATTCCTCCTACAACCGAAATTTACAAGCGCATTATAATTTTGCTAACAATCGTGAAATAACAGGGTTAGACTGAACTGGGTTGGGTTGGGCACAGTAGTCTGGTAGATGATCTACGTTTCAGAGGAGCTTACTGCCGCCATCATCACGGTGATGAAATCCAATTGATTAGCCTTATGTCACATTACGAACAATTCCACAGTCCACATACTTCACAATTCCTCCGCTTCGGCGCCACCGACAACGGTATCTAATCCCGACTAGCGGTCTCTATTGCTCAGCCGGTAACCACATCGGTTTCCCTCGCGTCATGATCTGTATTCGTTATGAAATTCTCAGTATTATATTTACGGACGGCAGCGTCGAAAGGCAGGATGATCTGAACCCGAGACCTCTCAAATGCGAAACATGAACATTAACCGACGAATAAGAAGAAGCGATGACCTCGCGGCAGTGAATTTTGAACTGTGCTGTACTTACGTCCTGTGGTCCTCGCGTGATTAACGAGGTGATTGCTCGACGAATTCGTCATGACGTGAGACGTCGATGATCCGTCGCTCAGTGGACTCGTCGAACGACCAGCATCGTGCTTCTTGGACGACCCTGCGAAGAAGAATTAATTTCCCTTGCAGTTGCGTTACTGAAACGTCGAAGAGTTTTCGACTGCAGACCTCAGGGAAAGCGAATTCACTCAAGACCACGAACGAGATGGTTTAGACAGCGTGTGCAGCCTCGGGATGGGAGTAATCGGCCTACGAGGACTCTGCACCGGGATCACAACCCAGAAGAACATCGACGTCCTCACCGCCTTGAGGAAGATGAACGATGACGTCACATTTTAAGCAGAAGGCCTATAAACACGTGTTCAGTGGACATAATCCTGAGCAGTTGACGCAGTCCACAACATTCTTTAATTTTAATATCATAATCCATCTACGCTTACGTCGCCCTCATGGCTGCTTCCACTGAGATCATACCCCCCATGCGCGCTGCACGCCTAGCCCATATCACCCCCTCCCTCCCTCAGACACTTGCAATAGAACAAGCGAAATTATAGTTTCGTTTTGCGTATTTTAATGTTCACACAGCAGAAGTGAACGCGAGTTATTAACATCTGAATGAATGCCAGTCACAAAGAACACGATGAGGGCGTTTAACGATTTGCTTTCGTCGTATTATGAGCTGCTGGGGCCACGGAGTTTCCAAAGGGAACCGATCCTTCATCAATGTGAGTGGAAAGCAGTCATTAAGTGACTGAGAAAACCACTGAAATCCACTCCAGGTTGGTGCGGCCGAACTGGATATGATCCGGCTGTCGGTTCATGTGCCTGCATAACGCAGATGCATTGTGGAAGTTTCCGTGCATTAACGCCCTCCTGGAGTCACGAAGAAGATTCTCCTTCAGTCGATTACGTGAGCCGCGACACCTAGAGATGACGTAATGACGCGGGCGTTCATCAGTCATCGACAAAGTGGGCGAACACGAAGCTCACGCAATGTGAATACAGGGACGGGTCTTCGTCACCAGAGTTCGTACCTCCACTCCTCCCTACGCTCCCGCGGCGTGGTAGCATAGCGACTGACAACAGAGTTATCGATTACGGTCTTCTGGGTTGTAACGTCGTGTGTACTTGTAGGTAGATACCGACGTTTCGGAGGGAAATACCGCCTCCATCTTCAGGACTGAATCCTTATCTGTGTCAAAATTATTAAATGAGACGAAAACAAACTTGAAACTCTGGTCTGCGGGAGGTTCTCTGACTGAATAAATGAAACACAATATTTTCCTTGTAAAATCACAACTTGTCAGAGTGGAGTACACACACAGAAGTCATTTAGAAGTCTCTACGAAACGCGTTTGTCTCGGAAAGTTGTCATTATAAGCCTACTCATTGCTGTGTATTGTCTTACAGGACACCTGTCACGTAATATGGTCTTACGTAATTATCGCTGTGTTGTTAAAACATCCAAGGTCTACCACACAGCACGACCTTCCAAGATGTGGTACAAACTCCGCCTCTGATGCTCGGCGTGGGTGCTATGTCGGCGGTGAATCTTACAACCTGGCTAATCCTTAATTACACTGGTCTCCTGCTGCCTGAAACGACAGGATGTCTCATCGTATGCGCCCTCCTTAAAACTTCCGAAGAGCCGAAAAATCGGCTTAACCTTCGATCCATAAAATATTTGAAGCTCATGACATTACGCGCGTCCAACATTTTAAGAAATCGACAGACGCCTTATCATAGTCGAATTAAATTTCCCATCGCATTCCTGGCTACGAGACTCCTAAAAAACTGAATCTGCCACGCAGCGAGGCTTCTGTCCACAGTGCACAACGCAGGTCTCAGCGGGGCACGAACCAACGAACGTCAACTGCCCTTTGCTCTGGTTCTTCCAAAGACGACACAAGATAAAGTTGACGGAAGATCACATTTAAAAATCTACGGATTACAGTGCACAAATCTTATATTTACCCCGATGGAGTTTTCCGAAACGTCTACTACAGCATTTCACATCTATTGAATATTTAAACTCTTTTCTTCCGACACAAACCACAAGCAAATTCCGACGACCAAATTTAATGCAAAGCGAATCAATGGTTTCAGTGACTCCGGGTCGAAATGGAGCAGAGACCTTCTGGTGAGTTCACATTTCTAACACAGCGACCTTTCATGCAGGATCAGATAATATAATGGTTGATATATCCGGGTTAAACACAAGGTCTCCCTGTTTTACGCTCCGTGTATGGAACGAACTTTATTTCGCCTTCCATATTGGAACCAGACGAGGTTTTCTGCTCGAGTGGCCCAAAGCTTTCGGAGCGGCGACATTCTGACGTCTGCGAGTAAGATGGATGACAGCATTCCGGGCTGTGGCCCTGTGCAGTTTATCAGAAGTGCACAGACGTTTAAAGAGGCGCTTACTGCCTCCACCATCAGAGCAGAAACCATTCGCTGAACATCAAAAAATGGTATCGAAGGTCTCGAATTAAGGGTACCGTGCTAATTTAATGTTAGCTCTCACTATTCCAATGCAAGAACAGTTTGGATATTTGACTGCTGTGCCGTCTGCAT